GTGAGGTAGGAAAGTCCACCATTGTAACTGCCGAGCCAATTCTGGGGTGACTGTCAAGCGTTTGTTTTGACTGTTGTGAAGAGGGTTGAAGAGAGTGAGCATCCAGACTTGTAGAGAGCGCATCTTGAGGCAAGCATGAGACAGAGTGGAAGTTGTGGAAGCCATGAGTCCCAGAAGGTGTTACACAAGCTTTGCTCTTACTCTTGCGTGTGGCTTGAATTTCTTGATGGCCCTCTTTATCTTTTGAACGCGTTCTGGTGGCATGAACATGCGAGCCTGGATGGAGTCTATCCTCACTCCGATGTAGTCCATAACTTGAGAAGGATGCAACTTGGACTTCTCGTAGTTTATGGTGAGACCCAAGGACTCCAATGTATGAAGGACGTACTGGGTGTATTTTAGTGCCTGTTCTCTTGACTTGGAGACGATCAACCAGTCGTCTATGTATGGGTATATTCGATCTCTTGGAGACAAAGATAGGCCGCCACAGGTGCCATGCACTTGGTGAAGGTTCTTGGCACAGTTGAAAGTCCGAATGGTAGAGCCACAAATTGGTAGACAGTGTTGTTGAAGAGGAGCCGCAGGTATTTCCTGTGGCTTCGATGTATGGTGATATGGAAATATGCGTCTTTCAGATCCACCACCACGAACTACTCTCCTTTCCTCAAGAGGTTGATGATGGATTCTAGAGTCACCATTCTGAACCGTCGTGACTTGAGAAAGTTGTTGAAATTCCTCAGATCCAGAATTGGTCTCAGGCCACCATCCTTCTTGGGCACCAAGAAATACCAGGAGTAGAAGCCGTTCAGGATGTCCTTGGCTAGTACTATTTGGATGGCTTCCTTCTCCAGCAGTGTAAGAATCTCTTCTTCTAGGACAGGATCGAACGATGTAGGGTTGACCTGTCCTAGAGGAGGCAATTCTGTAAACTCCAGCCGGTAGCCGGAGCTTATAATGCTCAAGACCCAAATGTCTTGGGTTTTGAGTGTCCAGGTGTGAAGGTAAGGAGAGAGTTGGGTGGCATGGTTGGTGGTTGCTATGAGTTGTGGAAAGTCAAAGATATTGTTTATGTTTCTTTTCAGGAGCTTTGTAGGATTGCTTCCTCTAGGAAGATTGTGGTTTGAAGATGGTAAATGATGAAGAAGCTTGAGCGGGACGCCGAGTGGTTTGGGCACCAAACGAACGGTAAGTACTTGTGGATGGTTGCTGATAAGATTGGGTGGTGTACCTGGGACGCCATTGAAATTTGGCAGGCTTAGGTTGTTGTTGGATGGAATATGATTTTGCTGTCTTCTTACTTTTATGGAGATTTTCAAGATTTTCGTCGGTCTTCTGAATGAAGAGGCCAGATGCATCGAAAGGTAAGTTTTCCACCCGTGACTTAATGTCCTCTATAATGTTCGCAGAACGTAGCCAGGTCTGCCGTCTCAAGGTTATGATGGAAGCAAAGTTCTTGGCTGTAGCTTCGGCTACACGACAAGACACCAGGCACTGGTACTTGGAGACTGTCAGAGCCTCTCCGTGGGTGTTGAGACAGAGCTGTCTGAACTCTTCGGGAGCTACCTGTAATGCAGGCAATACCCTGGACCAAAGTTGCTTTTGGTAGGCTCCCATAGCCACCAAGTAATTCACTGCACGTAAAACGAAGGTAGACATAGAATACATTCTACGCGCCAATATCTCCAATTTTCTGCCCTCCTTGTTGGTGGGTGTAGGATGGCCCTTAGCAGGAGTCTTGGTGGCACTGGACTCTACTATTAAGGAGTTAGGTGCAGGGTGCACCATGAGGAAAGAAGTGTCCTTGCCGTGAATGCGGTATAAATTCTCAGTCCTTCTAGAAATGGTAGTAGGATTAGCTGGATGCTCCCAATACTCTTTGATCAGATCCAGCAATTCGGGTACATATGAGAGACTCATGGGTGAGACCTCTCTGCATTAATGTCCCCCAAAATAAGATCTTCTTCTCTCTGGGGAGATTGCTCAATTGCCAACTTCAGGGTTTTAGCCATGCGGGAGATCATTTGAGTGTAGGAGGAGAAGTCCTCCAATGGTGAAGAAGGATGGTAGCATCCGGGGGTAGAGGTTCTCCAGGTACAGGAGTGTCAAGAAAAACCTCAGAATCCTCCTCCTCTTCCTGATCAGAAGACCCCTCAAAATGTGGCTGGTCATCCTCAGATTGAGTAAGGAGGACCGGACGTTGAGGAACTTCAGGCACGGTGTCGGTGTGCTTAGGGTGCGATGGTACAGACCCTGTAGTTTGAGGTGGTTGTGCTGGAGGATGAGTTGGATTCGCAATAGTCTTCGACACCGAGGTTTTAATAGGCTCGGTGTCGAGAGGTCTCCTTGGTGGAGGACTCCTAGGTGAGGAACCAGAGCGGGAGGAAGACGAGTAAGAGTAACGAGATCTCTTTCTCCGTCGTTTCCTATCCCTCGATGTCGAGGAGGACTCTGTCGAATAGTCTCTCCTTCAGCGCTGGCGGCGTGATCTCTTGCGCCCACGGCTGTACTCAGAGTCAGTTAGGGAAAAATCCCTTCGACGTCGATGCCCATGCCTATGTTTGTGGTGATGTCAACGCTTTTTTGCTGGTGGCTTGTCGTCATCACGATCAGACAGTGGGTGTCGAGGGGCAGGGTCCTCGACTGGCTTCACAGGTCGACCTCGAGGAGCGGGAGGAGACCTGGAAGGAAGCGATCCCGACATGACTGAAGGGGAAGGAGTCGCCCGCCCAGTTCGAATTGGGCTAGAAGGGGCATTAGCTAAGCCAGTAATCACTTGACCAATCTGGCTAGCTGTAGGCGACCTTCCCACATCCACCGGTGGTTCCTGTCGAGGTGGAAGGGAGGCACCGAGGTCAGACATCAAGTCTCGGTCCTGAGACGAGTCCTCTAAGATGGGTGAAGGCAAGGAGGCAGACACAGGAGGGACTACCAGAGTGATCTCTTTAGACTTCGCCTTTGGCTTCTGGGGAACCGCCTTTTGCTTCGGCTCCGATGTTGAGGGAGCTGCTAAATCAGATGAGGCTTTCTTCCCAGTAGCCTGCTTTTTAGGCTTTACTTTAGATGTTTTCTTAACTATTTCTTTGGTCGATTGTGGAGTAGGGGACGATACGACGGTAACTTCTGAATGGACTGTTGAAGTAGATTGAACTGACTCCATGTCGGAAGGTTGTGAGGCAGACAAGGTCTGGCTCCAAAGGAAATATTTCAGGTGCTGTTGGCGGGCTTTTAACGACACTTTGGTAAAGTCCTTGCAGTGTTTGCAATGGGCAGTAGAATGTGTCTCCCCAAGACAAAAAAACACAGAGAGAATGCCCGTCCTGAAAAGGTAGCTTTCTGGAACACGACGAACAGCGGCTGAATGGTCCCTTTTTCGCTGACATAAGCTGAATAGCATAGGAAACTAGTTGAAGGGATGTAAATTGAAAGAGTCCGGGAGGCGCATGGCGCCTCAGTGGGCGGCCAATAGGCCACAATTAGGATCAATGAAACAATCAAGTACTTGCTGTAATCTCCAGAGGCAAAAGACAGGTCAGGCAGTCCGTAGTCAGGGCAACAGAAGTTCGGATAGACGGTGTAGCCAAAATCGAGTCGAAAGGCAGTCAAATAAGCAATTTTGAAAGAGCTCTGATCCGAGAGGTTCCAACTCCGCGGGCGGAAAAATGGAACTGGGGCTTTGGCGGGCAGAGCGTGCGCAATACAGGGCAACCTAAACTTTGTTACTTTTTCCCTATAGCTCTGGAAGATTCCGAGAGGACCAGCGCAGGTGCTGTAAACCCATCAGTGTGGATTCATAGAGAACCACGTTGAAGAACAATTGGATATTTTATCAGACAAAAAAAGAGACTTTTTCACACCTTGAAGAAACTGATGGAGCAGAGGTAGTGACCAAACAGCCTAGATTGTTCCTACTCACTAGAAGGCACAGATGTATTGGAGCAAGACAGAGAGACAACCCAATCTAAGGACGCCCTCCTCCACTGTAAGAGAATGCATGATTCTTCTGCATTTCATCTGAAAAGGGTCAGAGTCTTCTTTTAATTTTACATCAAGCCTGCATTTTTTCATGAATCCAACTCAAGTGCCAAATGACCAATACATTTAGTATCAAGGATATTGGCAAATCTTTGGGTCTGAGTCTGAGCCTTTGGTGCCAAGTCCTGAGTCTCAAGCACAAAGTCCAAATCTCTATTAAAAACAAGCCTTTTTCCACAGAAAAAAGGGAGGGAGAGTGGGTTTCAAGTTGAGTCAAAGTCATTGGAAAAAAGAGACCTGAGTAGATTCCAAGCTGAGTCACCAGTGCGTCTTAAGTCTGACCTGACAGCAAGTCCTGCAACTTGGGTCCCCATTCCTGTTTAATACATTGATCAGGTTGGATCAATACATCAGAAACACTGGTGCCGTCTCCAAATGCTTTAAGACAATGGTTGAAATCCTGGGCTTAACATATACAAGTGTAGGCCCATTAATCAATGGATATTTAGTGAGTGAACTCCTCTGTACATTCCATTCATCCAAGTATGTCTACTCTAGTTGTAATTTACTATACCACATAATAATAATGTGGCGTCAAGTCAATTCTGATTTATGGCAATCCTTGTCAGAGTTTTCCAGGTACAGAATATTAAGAAGTGGTTTATGATTGGGGGCACCTTGGACTATACCAAAGTAAGCTGCAATTAGAATACGCCCATCTGAACTAATGGATTTTATGGAGGAGTTAACTCACCCAATCCCTACTGATTCAATGGGCCTAATCTAGTGTGATTTACTACGTCAAGCAACAGTATTTAATCAGAAGACCTTGTGTAGATGTTCCATGGTTTTTAATAAATTTTTGTGAGAAAAAAAGAGTGGAAGGAAATCACAGCTGAACTACCAAGCTATGATGTCTTGACATCAATAAAAGTCTACTAATAAGACAAGGTGGTTGCATGGAAAAAAAACTCTTATCTGAAAGCATCTTCATAGTTCCACACCTATAAGGTAGGTAAGTTCCATACCATGTGCTACAATGGTGTTTCTTCTTGCAGATACGTGAAGTGTTGACCATGTACATTTTATCTTTCAATACTTCCTGCAACTGGGCTGGAGCTATTGTCCTGAAAGAGGCAAATATATTTTCCATGTTTAGAACTGCTGTAGAAAACTGTAGCAGCAATTGTGTCAGCCATATCAAAGAAAAAGCTGCCTCAATATATAGTCTCTCTGAGATATTTACACCAACTTTGATTATGTGTTTTCCCAAGCCTCTATTATTTGCATGTATAGCTTTGAATATTTATAGCACTCTCGCATGAATTTTAAGAGCTAATTTACATCTAACTATTCAAAATGCCACTTTGATGTTTTACAGGTTAGATCTGGACTTAAGACATTATCTGAAATCAATAAGACCCAAATACATAAATGACAGAGTTAAATCCCACTGATTTCAATGAGTCTTCTCTACAATCTGGCAGCCTGGATTCAATAGTTTTTTTCTGAAAATGTAACTTATACTTGTGTTTAAAAAGTAGTAATGTATCTTTTTATCTATAATCCTTCATACAGTACCTTGCCTGAACCTCAGATTTACTAGATTCACAAATAACACTTTTATTTGTAAAATGGACTTCATTTCTTTTTGCTATACTGCTTTTAGAATGAAAACAGTTATTGTGTTCGTTTTGACTGACTGATGCATCCATTGGATTTCTGTTGGCAGGCTTTAGTAGTTCATTCTTGGAAGAGCCTTTTATACATTCTGTAATAATCAGCTGAGGAGATGAGGAATTTGCTTCAGTTTTTGTACAAGCCACCCCATTGTCAGAGAGTTGCTTGCTTGCATTTGCTTTTAAATGCACTGATGTATTCTGCAGAATTGCTTCTTGAGCATTATCATTATTAAATGCTTTTCTTCTCATCTTCTCCTGTATTTAAAAATATAAATCAAAAGAAAGAGATAAAAATGCATAACAAAACAATGTTTTATTTAAACAATAAAGCTATAAATGTTAATGGACATAACCCATTTGATGAAGGGGACAATCTCCACAAAAGTTTGAAGTTGTGAGTGGTTAATCTTTAAGGCATCACTCCACTCTATATTGTTTTCGTTTGCACAAGACTGACACAGCTACTTATCAAGAAACGTCTTCTGAAGGCTCAAGAAAATTAGACCAAAATCATCTTGATAGTTGGGAGCCAGAATGAGATGTATGTCAGGAAACTGGTAAATGAGAGGGATGATTATTTCAGTTGCCTTTGAAACTCAGGCCTGTTGGCTTGTGCTGGAATGGCTAGGCCAGAAGAGAGGGGAGGAAATTGCCTTTTAATTGGAAGATGCCTGCTTCTTGGGAGGAAAGCAATGACAAATCTTGACAGCATCTTAAAAAGCAGAGACATCACCTTGCCGACAAAGGTCCGCATAGTCAAAGCTATGGTTTTTACAGTAGCGATGTATGGAAGTGAGAGCTGGACCATAAAGAAGGCTAACCGCCAAAGAATTGATGCTTTTGAAGTGTGGTGCTGGAGGAGGCTCTTGAGAGTCCCCTGGACTGCAAGGAGAACAAACCTATGTGTTCTGAAGGAAATCAACCCTGAGTGCTCACTGGAAGGACAGATCCTGAAGCTGAGGCTCTAATACTTTGGCCATTTCATGAGAAGAGAAGACTCCCTGGAAAAGGCCCTGATGTTGGGAAAGTGTGATGGCAAGAGGAGAAGAGGACGACAGAGGACGAGATGGTTGGACAGTGTCATCGAAGTTACCAACATGAATTTGACCAAACTCTGGGAGGCAGTGGAAAGACAGGAGGGCCTGGTGTGCTCTGGTCCATGGGGTCATGAAGAGTTGGGCACGACTTAACGACTAAACAACAACAACAAACAGGGTAACTTGAGGTGTTTGTGGTTGATCCCTGCATGTGGATATAAGGATTGCCCCAAATGACATACAACTTCTCAAAGCAACCCTGTTTAGCACAATCAAGACTGATCCAGGCTAGGATAAATCACCCTAAGAAATCCTCAAAATTTGTTTTTTAAAAAATTTAACGTTTTTTAAATGGGATATTCTAAACCATGACCAATGAACATCTTTAAAATATGCATAAATTAGTACTTACCAGGGATGTCAATAATTAAATACTTAGGAGAAATGTAGGAACAGATGGGCTCATGCTGGATTACCATGAAAATGAAGAAGTGAATATGAGCAGAGGAAAACATTCTAGTAACTTTGCATTTTTAAAAAGGTAAATAGGGGATATCAGTGTGGTGTAGTTGACAGAGCAATGGACTAAAACTCAAGACACCTGGGTTCAAATTCTCCCTTGTCTATGGAAACTCATGGCGAGGGGGGGAGGAGTGGCAATGATAAAGCAACTCTTCATATATCTCACATAGCTTGAAACCCTTTTAGGCTTATCACAGGTTAACTGCAACTTGACAGTCCACAACACAATTTTTCTTTAAAGCACTGTGGGGCTATAAACAATGTAAGGTTTTTATTCTTTTCCATGCAAAAATAATTCTTTATTCTTGCTCTGAATATGTCCTGGAGGTAATACTTGCAAAATTTCACACGCTGGTTCTGGAAAGAATGAGGATCCAGTCCACAAAACTTTCAAGATAGCCTGAATCAACTTTGTACTAGTTTGGAGAATAGAGTTTGCTGTGTCAGATACTATGCACTCATACTATATCACACTGCATTTGTTTGAACTGATCACAAATTACTTTATTGTTCATGAAATATAGGTGCAAGTGGCTTCAATCCAAATATCAGAATTTTGTAGTCATCCAGCTAAGAATACTTAATAAATTCAGATTATCAGAGATAATCCTTTTTTGTAATCCACATAGATATCAATTTCTTGCCTGCATTAAATCTGTATTTCCTGGATGTTAGCACAATGCTCCAGTTATGTCTTTTTAAAAAGAGGGAGAAGTACCTTTTGATGTTCATTTTCAAGACTTTTAATTTTATACCATATTTCTTTTGCTTCGTTCCTGTAGTCTTCAAGATTCCTCTCTTTGTTTTGCAAACTTACTTCCAGATTCCCTACATCATCCTCTATTATTGAATGTTCAGCTAATTTCAACGACAATTTCTCCACTATTTGAAAGAGACAGAAAAATGATTTTGTTTCATAAAAACAAAGGATGTATGTAATGTTACACATCAAAGCCTTCAACTATTGACCCCTCAGAAGAGTGACACAAGGTTACTTAGGGTGTTACTAAAAGATCCATCAATCGATCAATCTATCGTCCTACAGGATCTATAAAAGAAACTATTCTGTTCCAGTAGCTATACACTTCTTCACACCTTAGTGTAGAGTCAGTGTAGTTTCAAGGCATGTACAGAATGCATCCTCCAAAGCTCAGAGAGCATTTGGAAAAAGCCTCCCTGTTCAAGAGTCAGGCTGAGTTGGACAAAGCTGCATTTTCCTTACAGATAGGCAAAGTCACTGAACCTTAAACAACCCATTCCGATCTGTTTTTCTCAACATCTTAATCTACCGAAACAAAAGCACTTTCCTTCCCTCTTCCTTTCACACAGCTTTAATCCTCTCTCAATTTGTATAACTACAGGGAAGGAAGTGGAAGTGAAGAACAGATTTAAGGAAATAGATTTGGTGGACAGAGTGCCTGAAGAACTATGGATGGAGGCTCATAACATTGTACAAGAGGCAGCAACAAAAACCATCCCAAAGAAAAGGAAATGCAAGAAAGCAAAGTGGCTGTCTGGCGAGGCCTTACAAAAAGCAGAGAAGGGAAACAAAATGCAAGGGAGATAGGGAAACTTACAGAAAATTGAATGCAGACGTCCAAAGAATAGCAAGGAGACACAAGAGGGCCTTCTTAAATGAACAGTACAAAGATATAGAGGAAAAGAATAGAAAGGGAAAACCAGAGATCTGTTCAAGAAAATTGGGGATATTAAAGGAACATTTTGTGCAAAGATGGACATGATAAAGGACAAAAATGGTAGGGACCTCACAGAAGCAGAAGACATCAAGAAGAGGTGGCAAAAATACATAGAGGAATTATAACAGAAAGATTTGGATGTCCCAGACAACCCAGATAGTGTGGTTGCTGACCTTGAGCCAGACATCCTGAAGAGTGAATTCAAGAATGCCTTAGAAAGCATGGCTAACAACAAGGCCAGTTGAGGTGATGGCATTCCAGTGAAACTACTAAAAATCTTAAAATACGACATTGTTAAGGTGCTACATTCAATATACCAGCAAGTCTGGAAAACTCAACAGTGGCCAGAGGACTGGAAAAGATCAGTCTACATCCCTATCCCAAAGAAGGGCAGTGCCAAAGAATGCTCCAACTACCGCAAAAACCTTTGACTGTGTGGACCACAAGAGACTATGGCAAGTTCTTAAAACCTTTGACTGTGTGGACCACAACAGGTGATGGCAAGTTCTTAAAGAAATGGGAGTGCCTGACCACCTTATCTATCTCCTGAGAAATCTATATGTGGGACAGGAAGCAACAGTTAGAACTGGATATGGAACAACTGATTGGTTCAAAATTGGGAAAGGAGTACGACAAGGCTATGTATTGCCTCCCTGCTTATTTAATTTATATGCCGAATACATCATGCGAAAGACAGGACTGGAGGAATCCCAAGCTGGAATTAAGATTGCCGGAAAAATATCAACTTCAGATATGCAGATGATACCACACTGATGGCAGAAAGGGAGAAGGAATAAAAGAACCACTTAATGAGGGTGAAAGAGGAGAGTGCAAAAAATCGCCTGAAGCTCAACATCAAAAAAAACTAAGATCATGGCCACTGGCCCCATCACCTCCTGGCAAATAGAAGGGGAAGATATGGAGGCAGTGACAGATTTTGCTTTCTTGGGCTCCATGATCGCTGCAGATGGTGACAGCAGCCACGAAATTAAAAGACACCTGCTTCTTGGAAGGAAAGTGATAGAAAACACACACAGCATCTTAAAAAGGAGAGACATCACCTTGCCGACAAAGGTCCGCATAGTCAAAGCTATGTTTTTTACAGTAGCGATGTATGGAAGTGAGAGCTGGACCATAAAGAAGGCTGGCTGCCAAATAATTGATGCTTTTGAATTGTGGTGCTGGAGGAGACTCGATAGTCCCCTGGACTGCAAGGAGAACAAACCTATCCGTTCTTAAGGAAATCAACCCCGGGGGCTCACTGGAAGGACAGATCCTGAAACTGAGGCACCAATACTCTGGCCATCTCATGAGAAGAGAAGACTTCCTGGAAAAGCCCCTGATGTTGGGAAAGTGTGAAGGCAAGAGGAGAAGGGGACAACAGAGGATGACATGGTTGGACAGTGTCACTGAAGCGACCAACATGAATTTGACCAAACTCTGGGAGGCAGTGGAAGACAGGAAGGCCTGGTGTGATCTCGTCCATGGGGTCACGAAGAGTCGGATACGACAATGACTAATCAACAACAACAGGGAAGGAAGCAGACTAGCTTTTGATGACAAGAGACAAAGGTCCTGTCTGGACATCAACTGAAAGTGTCATTTCCCCCTTCCTTCTTGGCTGATATTCACAATTGCCTTCTTAGTCAGGTTTCCCAGGCACTCACAAAGAAGCCTCAAAATTTGATGGATTACGTGTTCTATGTTCCCCTATTTTCTCAATTTCTTCACAGATATTTATGAATGTTGTTATGTGATGTTGAATCACCCCAACTCGACATCACATAGAGACTCTTTGAATGAGTGATCTCCAAAATGTCCTGTGCTCAGCAGCCCTGCTCAGCTCTTGTAAACTCAAAGTTGTGGCTTCATTTAGGAAGTCAATTCATCTCATATTTGGTCTTACAGGGGGTTCTTTATTATTTTTGTTGGAGCTGTTGTTATTACATGCAGTCAAGTCACCTCTAACATATGGCAACTCTGTAAATGAGAGATCTCCATTCAGTTCTTGTAAACTCAAGCTTTTGGCTTCCTCTTGGGGGTCAATCCATCTTGTGTTTGGTCTTCCTCTTTTCCTGATGCCCTCAGTCTTTCCCAGCATTATTGCATTTTCTAGAGAATCTTGTCTTCTCATGATATGCCCAAAGTAGGACAGCCTCAGTTTCATCATTTTTGTCTCCAGAGATAGTTCAGACCTGATTTGCTCTAGGACCCATTTGCTCATCTTTCTGTCAGTCCAGGGCAGTGGTGGCAAACCTTTTGGGCCCGAGTGCCCAAACTGGGGGG